ATGTATATATATATATATATGCTCAACCCCCCCCCCCTGTCCCCACCCTGAGAACTACCCTTTGGGCTAAGAAAAATATTCAGTGATGGGGCAGTGGGAAAGGGAAAGATCCCCAGCATCAGTATCAACATTGATAATGGCACTATTGCTAATCATCATCTTTGTATTAATATGGTCATGACTGATAGTATGCTCTGGGTAGTTCTCGGGGGTGGGTGGGTGGGTGGGTGGGTGGGTGGGTGGGTGGGTGGGGGGGGAGGGGGGGGGGGTGACCGTATATATATACATATATATATACACACACACACACTTTTCTTTTATATATATATATATTTACATACTATTTTCTAGATTTTAATATGTAATATTCACTCCTTTAGCCTTATTGCACCGGTAAGATGGCTTAGGCATGGGGGTCGTGGTGGCGTCAGCTTGGATCCTGGTTACTGTGAAGCTTGGCGAGGCCACCGGGATTGGGGTTTGGGTGTAGGGGTTCCGTTGTTTAGGGTTTAGGGTCCAGCCTTTAGGGCATTTAGGCTTCAGGGTCTATGGTGTGGGCTTTTAGGGTTTAGGGCGTTTAGGGTTCAGGGTCTCGGGTTTAGCGTTTTCAAGAAGGCTCAGGGTCTAGGGCTAACAGAAGGATTTTGGTAACCCCAGCCCTTAGAATAAGGAGCCTGCAGCTATCATAGCATTCGGACGATATCCAAAATCTCCTTATTTGGTTCGGGTCCTGAGCAAGGCAATCACTAAACCCTGAACCCTGAATTTGTACCTAAGTGTTGAACGGCCAACTACAGGCTCAAGGCAGGGATTGGCAAGGATTGGCAAGGATTGAAGGTCTTTTGAGTGGTCTGAGAGCCTCCTTGATGAGGGAATCGAATTGAACACAAGTTAGGATATGTTAGGATCACACATGAGCTATAGTCTCAGCTCCTTAAAGGGGGTTATATGGGGCATTATATAGGGGACTACTATAGAGGTTATTAAGGAGGATACGTGGAGTTTAGACTATGGCTCACATAAGGTTATGGTCATATTCCATCATATTTGGGTACGAGGCTCCCTGAGGTCAAGACTTCAAACCACCCAAATCCCAAGTTCCAGCCCCTACTATACTAGGCCTGGCCTGTTTCCAGGGGAAGTTGTCCTGCAAGATTCCCATTGTGTACATCGTGTATGCTGGCCATTTTGCCGTGCTGCCACTGCTGGCACAGCCGAATTTGGAGACGGCTGGTCGAAAAGGGGCTGATAACACAAACACCTCGAGAACAAAGACACGAAACCAACACTGGACCCTAGATGATCCCAGGCTCTGTGGGCTTTAGAATAACCCTAGATTCTTTGGGGAGTTTTGGGCTTTTTACAGTATCCCTAGATTCCCTAAGAAAGTTTTGGGCCTCCTGGGCGGCGGCCAGGCATTGCCCCGAATCCTGGAGCAAGCTGCCGCCTTGCGGAGTCACAGGCAAGGCTGCGCGGGGGAGGGGGGGAGGAGGAGAGGGAGGGGAGGGGATGAGCTTTAAAGGGAGTTTGGGTTTAGAGCTCAGGGTTTGAGATTTTGGGTTTACGGAGAACTTTGGACTGGAGGGTTTAGGATTTAGGGCTCAGGGTCTGGGATTAGGGTTTACTTTGTGTTCAGTATTGAGGGCCTAGGAAGTAAGGCTTAGGGTTTGACCCTAATGTGTAACACCTAAACCCTTACATCAACAGTTTAGGGCTTGGTTCTTGACTTGGGTCGAAAGGCAAGGGATCACTGCGGGCCCTTGACAATGCCTGGCTGGGAAATGAAGTTGAGGGTTTAGTGTTTAGGGTTTGGCGTTTTCGTGTTGCTGATCTCTCGGCAGGATGGGATAAAATTCTTCCACCCATGCAAAAGTACCTATTATCCTCACTATAGTTATCCTGGTTATACATTTGGACTGGTTCAATCAACCCAGGGTTATCAATCAGCAACCCCCTGAAAAGATTCTATATGTAGAAGAACATGTATTCTAAGAAGATGCATATGTGTGAATATGCACATGCATACATGTACACACATTTGCACATTTTCAACTAAACCCCAAACCTAGAAACCTTGAGCCCTCAAGAATGAATATACAGCTGGTTGCATGGCTGCTCTTTGTCCTAGACTTGACTTGGCAAGAAGTTTAGGAAACCCCAAGCCTTGAAACCCCAAAACCTCAACCCTAAAACCTTAAGCAGAGGGATCTTGCCCCCAGTAATGGAGAATCAAATTTAACTTGAAAAGGAACTGGGATTATAGGGTAGTTTATACAGATTAGGGAGCTATAGTCTAAACTCCTTGAAGGGGACTCTATAGGGGAGTATTCTAGGGTTTATTAAGCAGGATACTAGGACTTTAGACTATAGCTCACACTGGAGGGTCAGGGGGACTTAGTAAGTAGGTTAATAACCCCTATAACCCATACAGTAACCCTAGTTATGCCCCTTATTAACCCACTTACTAAGTCCCCCTGACCCTCCAAGCATGTATTCAAAAGACCTAAGCCGTAACCTTGAAACCAGACCTTTTGCCCCAAAATCCCACAACCTCAAAGGCCCAAATCCTCAGACTCCAAAGGGATAGCAAACCATGACCCTTATGACCCCTATACTATAGTATGTGATAGTATATTATGGTATAATTCTGGTATGATTATGGTATATTATGGTACATTATGGTATAAATCCTCAGACTCCAAAGTAACTTGGCCTGAGGTGCTTGCACATCATCGCTTGCGGGCTTTCGGCCGGAGCCATGCTGCTCACCGTGTCCTTGGACCCAGTTGACGCAAATGTGGCACTTGGTAGTCTCCCTAAATAGGGGGACCCCAATGCAGACCCCTAAATACCAGAATCCTTATTGTAGGGACTCCCAAAATGGTACCCCTAATTTAGGGAAACTTCCACTTCTACCTGCCATGGGGCTCACATCAACACTCATAGTCAGAGTACTATCAACGATGGTAGTAAGGTACTAGATCAAAAAAAACTGAAGAAATCGGAACAATACCAGTAGCAACCGCAGTCGCCCATCCTCTTTGCCCTGATTTCAGGGATCTCCATCGTCACAGCTACCCCCTACGATTGATGATACAGCTGTCCAAGCACGCTTGTCTGTCTCCTTTCAAAGGTCGAGAGACCTTGAGGCTCAAGAATTGAAGTCATGCGCCGGCAACGCTTCATAGTCATTCTTTTTTTTGTTACTCATGCTGTTTCCATTACACTTGAGACCGCTATTGGTACTACTGTTACAGGGCTGGATTGTTGTTGACCGGGAACCAACTTGGTGCCTACAGGAAGTTGGTTGGCTGGATTTCACAAGGCATGGGTCCCATTTTCAAGGTCTGTGCAATCAGGCGCATATGTGGTTGTTCGGGGTGAAGAAATTGAATGTTTGGCGTGCAGAGGTTAACCTACCTTTACAGCACAGCTTGACAAGCTGCTTTGTTAGTGTCACATACATGGCGCTGATGCTGCGCTTTCCAGCGTGGCTGCGGCACTCTGGTGCCTTGTCTGCAAATCCTTGTCCTTCAAACTCATTGTCCCTTTGATGCATCGGCCTCCGCTTCTATTTGGGCTTTTCGAAGAATGTAAGCCTAAGGCCCAAGAAGGTAAACAGCACAACAAGAGGTTCAAGAAGCCACTTCATGGATATTGGGGGTTTAGCAAGTCTTAAAATGTAGAATCACATATCTTAAGAAGCAATACAAGGACACGAGTCATTTTACTAGTTCCTTGTCTGCTCACAAAGTTCCTATTACCCTCCGAGTCTAGGCAAGGTTATGGCTTGCCTTTTTTTGTTTGCACCAATTCCAGTCAGATAGGTATTCTGGAAGTTCTTTCTTTCTACTATTCGATGTAACAACAAGCGTCGATAAATTCCTGGTAGCCATTGCCAGAGTGGTGTGTACATTCGGGCTACTTCCTTCTGCGGTTCTGCTAGCAAGGATTTTTCACAGTTGCAGTGTCTAGGGGTTGAGAAATCGTAAAGTGGAAGTTTCTCAAAACCAACAACACGAGCTATCTCAAGGAAACCCCACAACGTCTTCATTTCCCTTGCATATTCCCAGGGTACCATACATTGTCTTGAGAACCCCTAGACCAAACCCTATCTATGCAGCCTAATCCGCAAACCCCTAAACCCTGAACCCAAAACCCAAAACCCAAAGCCAAACCCTAAACCCAAACCCCTAAACGCTAGACCGACGATGAGAATTTGCTAGACTTGCGCAGGCGCTGCGCGCACAAAGCTTGTGCAGCAGGCTAGTGGAACCGGCTTCGAAGCCCAAGGGTTTGGAGGGTTCAGGGTCTGGATTGGGGTTGTATTTGGATAATGGATAAGAAAATGGAAGCTACTATTTAGGGTTTAGGGTTTAGGATTTGGAGTTAGATGGGGATAATTGGAAAAGGGGTTATGGTAAGGAACAATGGGTCTGGATTACTGTTACTATTACTTTTACTATTGGCATTTTTATCAGCATTCTTATTAATGTTATTATGGCCTGGATTGCAGAGAGTTTAGGCTTTGGAGATTCCAGGTCTCAGATTTATTTTGAGCTTTGTGTTTGGGGCTTTGGGTTTGGTGGTTTGAGTGTCAAGTTCTGGCTTCGCCGCGGATTAAGAGCGATTGATCCCTCGTCATCCAATGTCTGCGTGAGTATACGCGAACAGAATGTAGAATCACAGACGTACGGACACAAGGCAGAATGACATTTCTACGATACCAGATGCAATGAAATAGCATAGCGTGCACCAGAACTACTGTCATTTGGGCAGGGAAGCTCTTAAAGTTGGGCTGTGGCATCAATGGGCATATTTGCAGGAGACCTGCTGGCAGAGATGCGGCAGCAGTTCCCGTGGATTCTTCTTCAAGAGGAAGTCTGAGGCACTGGCAGCAAGTGTGCTGACAAGTTATAGAAGCCTTCCTGACTGCCTCCCTCCTACCCCTTCCTCCCGCATGCCCCCCTTTCGCAACCTCTCCACTTTCTGGTTTCGCCTTCGGAGGGCTGACTCCCACAGTATTCCTGCCTTTTTCGGACAGCATCCACAAACTCAATTAGGGACAGCAGGGCTATGTTGGGAGAAAGTTTCCTCAGGGCCTCAGGGTTTTAGTTTATGGCTGATTTGTTCCTGCTGCAGGCATGGCCCGAAGAAGGGTTGCCGATCTCATCTGCGGACGTTTTGTAAAACAACCTGTTGGAGAGTAATCTCCTTGGGCATGCTTGTGGCGGCAACTACTTGTCTGATGCCATAACTAGGTGGATTAAGCTGTACTTTGGCCCTGAGTCCATTTACACGAGGCTTGCAGTCAATAAAGAAGTATAATCTCTGTGTCAGTAACAGTATTGGTAGCAGAAATAGTCATAATCACGCTAGTAATCACATTCGTAGTAACAATAATGGTAATCTGCTGCCTTAAGATGTTTTGGGGCCTGTGGTGGGGTTGGGTTCCGTTGGCACATGAAGTCAGGTTAGTACTTGGTCCCTTAGAAGGTATGTGGGATACCCCCAGCACACAGACATGCCAACATTGAAATTGTCATCATTCTGTGCAAGCTTCCTGAACCCTAAAGCCCAAAACCCTGAACTTTACTTCCGCAATCCCTAAAGCCTAGGGTCCACAAGAATCCCGAGACCCTAAACCTTCAAGCCCACACCCTTATCCCTAAACCCCCAATAATCCCTAGACCCTAAACAGGAAAGCCCAAACCATATTGTAAACCCCTATTCAATAAACCCCCTCCCCTTAATGGGCATTATTTTCGGGATCCAATCTTAAGGCCTTTTAAAGGAGGGGGTCTATTAATCATGGGTCTAGATTATTTATTATACCAGGCTTATCCTAAACCCTAACCCTAAACCCCAAACCATACATCCGCAGGGACCCCTTCTGGGAATCCAGGGTTTGGACTCAGCAGAAGACTTTCCGGTCTTGGCTGCTGATGCTGTGACTTGCTGATTGTTAGTAAGGAATGAAGGAAGGGAAAAGAATACGGAAACTGCTGTCTTCTTGGGGGTTATATAGGGATTACTATGTTGATCGTTGTAGTTTCTAATTTCTTTTCCATTCCCTACAAGGGAACAACCAGTAAGGTGAAGCAAAGCCGTGAAAGCATGGCCAACCTCAGACACTGCCGACCCCAGGAGTCAGCTGCTGGGCTGCAGTCAAGGGTTTTGGGGTTTTGAGGTTTGTTGGGGGCTTAGACTGAGAGTGAGAGTCCAAGTGCCCATTCGCGGCCCAAATACTACAACGTGAAAGGTTTTTGATACCTTGGACCCTGACATTTGGGTACTTGACCCTTAGAGTAAGGGATTGAATCCAAGTTGGGGTGTCGCCTAAGGTTGTACTCCCAGTCTCGTTCTTAAGAGTAAGTCAGGTTACACTCCTGGACGATGTTTCCAACAGCTTATGCCACATTGCAGATGCAGCGGAGCTGGTACGCAACGTCCATCCAGACGAGGCCTATGTGGCACACGCTTCCTCGGCAGTGCAAGAGATTGCAGGGTACATGAGTGAAGTCAATCTGGACGCGTCGGTCTACCAGTGCATGAAGGATGCAGAGGCAGAGGCTTCCCGGGACAGCGAGGGCCTGTCACTGGAAGCGCGCACAGTGCTACATCACATGCGGGTCTCCATGGAACATGAAGGTATTCATCTCGCACAAGCTGAGAAGCAGGCGTGCATTGAGATGCTGGATGCCGAGCAGCAGCTGGCTTTTGACATCGTTCAGCGGCAGGAGCAGGCCCGCCAGCGAATATCTTCTGGGACGGATGGAGCCTGGATTCCTGTATCAGCACTTGGGAACCTGAGCCTTGACCAGTGGAGGCTAAAGGAGCGTAGTGGGCGTCACGGTAGAGAGGTGCACGTCCCGCGCGACACATTTCTGGCAGACAGAATCCTCAAGGTCGTTCCGTGTGGCGAGGCGCGCCGGCAAATGCACGAGGCGCAACAGAGCCGTGATTCTGCAGCAGAGGAGATGATGGTGCAGCTGCTGGCTGTGCGGCAGCAGCTCGCCAAGATCCGGGGCTATCCAAGTTGGGCCCACTACGCACAGCGAGAGGCGCTCTTTCAGAGTCCTGACAAGGTGAAGCACTTCCTGGAGGCTGCCTGCTCCCTTTTGGTCTCTAGCCCCTCCTACAACCAGCCCCTTTTTTCCCACGACTACAAGAACCATAGAGCAAGGACCCCCGAACGCTTGATCCCTACCACTATAGTTTGCAAGGTATTACCGAATCCTTCTTGTTATAAACCACCCCGAAAAGGCATTTTGTCCCTAGAAGTCATTTCCATGTTCCCTGCCACTTACTGGGGGTTAGTAGGGAATAAGGAGATATGATGTTTAGGGACTCTGTAGCGATTATGTTCCCTTCTTCCCGAGTAAAACCCCAATATATACCCCATCAGAACGTAGTAGTTTCCAGCATCTCTTCCATTATCCTATTTAAGGCCAATGCACCGCCTTATTCCCTACTAAACCCTAAACCCTACTAAACCCTAAACCCTAAACCCCTATTCCCTACTTACCCTACTGAAACCCTAAACCCTAAACC